TATATATATATATATATATATATATATATATATATATATACTGCGTTCAATCCATCTGACCGCAAATGTCCAGACTGCCTGCACTCGTTAACCAGCTACTTGGCCCTTTAATATACTTAGGAATATAGGCCAATTAACTTACACGATCTTGTTGGATCTGGGTGACTAGAAAACTCAATACTGTCAGTTAACCCTCGAACTGTTTCGCAACTCCTTTGTGGATTGTTGGTAAATACTGATAAGCGGAAGGATAATCTTGCAGGCACACCAAGGATGATTACCAATAGCAGTAGGGCGAAGGACGGACTATACTAATGGTTCGAATTCTACTCTGAATTTGTGTGTGTGCAACGTGTTTTCAATTGAAAGCTGTCAAACTGTGAATGTTCCAATGTTAATAACACAGCGATGTCGGTAGGGAATTCTATTCGCCGATGTTTCGGTTACCGTGGGTTACCTTTCTTAAGGCAGGGATACCTGTCAAAGTTATGGGTGTTGGACACGTTTCTAGGATGTTTAAGTGTACCAGGGGATTTTACGTGCTTGCACAAGCTGTTTCTAAGCTCACCGGGTGGGGAGCTGTAAATCCTAAGGCTTGAAGCTATGGCGGCAACTAGGAAGCGATGCTTCATTGCTCTTGATTGCTGATGTCAAAGTCTGTAACAGGGGCGCAACGCATTTATCTCATCCACTGAGTGATTCAGCTCAGTGAGGAGGAATTACACCACACTTGTCCGTTGGAATTCACACATATTGTTCTCGTGAATTAATACACATTGACAATAAATGATTTCACTCACTGGTAGCTTTGTGAAGTTAGGTCGAATAGTATCACCTCCCTCCCTTCGGTATTTAGTTTTTTTATGATTTCTACAACATTAATCGTGTCTCGTGGGCTACGTCTCGAGATAGCGACTCGTACTGTTTCCAACATGCTGGGTAAACAGGTCCCCAATATATGTCAAGGGGATTTACGCTTATTCAATACCGGTCTCGGGGTAATACCCACACTGTGTACCTTTGATGAACCGGGCAATCCAGGAATTCTCGGTCTTGTTGGTTGTATCCCCTGGAACGTTAGCGCATCGATTGTTCCATTTTGCTTCAGACGTAATCAGATGGAATTCAAGTTTTAAACCCAAATCATCCTATCCTTCTCACTTGGATCTTTGAATTGGGAGTACTAAGTTTTCTGCGTCTTTTCCATATCATCCAGTATTCTCATAATCACAACAGTTGTCTGTGTTCTGTTCTGATAGTCATATCAGCATGTACTGTCCAATAAGTTGCTCTAACTTTATCTAGGTTGCGAATAATCGAAACGAGCCACGAAATAAGGTAAACACCAGCCGAAGATTGACATCGGAAATGACGAATAGTTTATTCTGGCCAGCCCCGAAGAGAGTGAAACAGTTGATAACGTAGTTACCTGCACGCCTTCCGGCGATGAAATTTCGCACAGGCAGTTGGGTATTCATTGCTGATGAGCCCTGAAGAGCCCATAACATGAGTCTACTGCCCAATTATCAATTTAAGATGCCATGTTGTTATGTGGATATAACGATAGTGCGATTGCGCCATCGTTTCACATTGTCTTGCACTTTTTGTGATGACCACGTTTCCACGTTCAGTCCATCCGTGTGGTGAAGGCACATCTGCTATACAGTCGAAGTTCACTGGGCTTGCTAAAGACTCGCCGCTGTAGCCAAGGAGTGGTTTCTCGATCGGGTTAGCTGGAGAAGCACCAGGTTCTAATGTATTCCTATTGTTAATTTTCTGTAGGTTGAAGAGCACGTATTTTAGTATTTTATTGTTATTGATTGATCATCTGTCACGTTGGCATTGTATCATTATTATCACATACACCTATTTTGTTACCTTTTAATAGTGTTTGCATTGTATCTGCATGCTTATCTTCTGTATCTCATTCAAACCTATTCTGACTCTGATGTAACTTGTCTGTCATTGTCGACGGTTTGGAGGTAAGCGGGAGTATAAGATTTGTCCCGATGGTGCTCCGCTCCTTACGACGCACTAATGAACACAATCGAAAAGAGATTTTTGGTTCGAACCGAGTTCGAATAACCAAGTGATCTGGAAAATAACTCACCATGAACCGCTGCACTGCCCATCGTAGAATGCTCGAACGACCAGATCCAGGTGTTCCAAAAATAAGACCGGGAGTTTTGGCCGTCCCGAACAGGTACGAACGAATCACGTTCAATTCTCTACTCCGTCCCTCCACCATCAAAGGATCTTTCCATTCCGGTTTTGGCAAGCCGGTACCGGGTGTTGCGGCGACCCAGTGTGACTCACCTATCAGGGAACTACTGGCTCGGTTCATTAGCAAACGGTAATGCGTCTGACCCTCGTCCTTGATGGTCCATTCGATACGTGAACCGACAGGTTTATTTCGCATCTCACACAGGCTGACGACACACTGTTTTAACAGACGTGTCATGTGCTGTGCAAACAGTGTCAAATATTGCGTCAATGGAGAGGCTGAATACGGTTCTCTTTGTTTCCCCTCGTCCATCCGACTGAGAGCCCTCTTCAAAACGGATATCAATGATTTTCGTATTTCCAGTTGACCATAGTAGTCGGTTGTCTTACTCACCAAATCGCCCAATTGATTTAACACTTCCACGGTCACGTGGGTATGGACCAAATGTGTTGAGGGTATGTGAGCCGATAACGTGCTCCGCAAAGCGTTCAGTTTGGAAAATCGATTCCAATCCGGACAGATCATCGTCTGGTTCTGTTCGGTCGCATCGAAAAATAATGCGGCCGCCTTGAGTTGCTTGATTCGGTTGTTCCGTGTACCAATCACATCCCCATTCATTGTGTTTGTTTGTTTCACTTCGTTCAAGCCGTGCAGATGACGATTAAAACAGACGGTTCGCGTTGCTATTGATTGATTTGTTTGGACTAGGGATGTCAGATGTTCAAGATCTACCGGGTTATTTCGGTTCACACAACGGTCGTAAAAAGAACGGAAAGGGGGTGGATGGATTAGGGTAAGAAGGAGTGTTCAGCGATAAGAATAACGATATGAAACGTATACAACAAGTATACAAAATGGGCAAAACTATCCGCAATCGAAAAGAAAGAAAAGAAATCAAAGAAATGTTTTGAACGCACAGAGAATGCTCACGGTGTTCCGTTAACAGGTGGCAGTGTGATGAATCCAAGAGATCTCGAACAGCCTATCTTGCAGAAATTTGGAATTACTGATAATTTATGTTCATTCTATTTTCTGCATGACACTGTTCAATCAGAAACACAGAAACAGATTCATAATTGCATCGCTATTACGAACCCCTCCCCTCTCACTTCGAGAGGAGGGGAGAAGGGTCGATGATCTCTGTTTAGACGTGAATACGACACGTAATTTGGCCGCATGAAAAATATTCTCCAACGCAGTTCTTAGTTTGCGGCTAACAAACCGTGCGATTGTATCCCCTTTGAATGGGAGAGAAATGTACACTGGCTTCTTCTCTGCGCTTAATAGTCTCTTCCTAAGACGGGTATTTCGAAAACGGTTCTCTAAGAAACGTTCTGGATAGCCATTTTGTAGGAAAAATCACGAATGAATGACAGCTCCGCATTTTTCACCGCCCTGTTCACCAAACACTGAATCAGATTTCTTTTTCTTTTGAGTGGTACAAAGCTTCTCTGATACTGGCCGCTCCAAGTCGGTTTCCTATGAATCTATCTATGAATAGAACCATCTGTGCGACACTTTATCCAGATGTCGAGAAAACCAATCCCGTCATTAACCTCTTCTTCCTACGTGAACCTGGTGTCGGGATGAGCGGAATTAAATATCCTGAGCAAGTTGGACACCTTGACATTGCTTGTCCACAAAACATAATATGTTATCGATATATCGTCTGTACAGCCTACATCGCTTAGTCGTGGACTTCAAAACAATATTTTCTGGCTTGGACATGAATAAATCCGCAAATAGAGGACCGAGCGGGGATCCCATTGCGACTCAATCCTTTTGGTTATAGAGTTCGTCATTGAACCGAAACTGAACGTTCTGTGTGCATATCTCTGTTTAATCAAGCGGGTGAGCGGAGATAATGTGGTTGGAATCAGTAGGAGGACGGTGGCTTGATCCAACCGAAGTTTTGTTTTCAAATGTGAACTTTATTACCCATTTTCACGTGGTATAGTGCGTAAAACAGGTCAGAAAGCTCGGGATGAAAACAAATTTCCGAGCTTCCGTTAATTCCACCGGTTGATTCAACATATCGAGTGGAAAATTAAACTGTTTGATTTACACTTTAATCCAATGAACCTGGATCAATTGGTAAAGCATGATCGCAACTCACAAACTCGTCCCCTTCTTGATCTTGTGTGAATTTGGCGGGGTAAATCTAACTGGTTTGAAGCCACAAGCATTTTTATATTATTTAGCAGCTCCACCATGGTCCTCCATTTCTTCCTGTTCTGAATTTTTCATCGCTGAACCGACCTGATCTGAGTTAATAGATCCTGCTTTTTACCATTTGAAAGCGATTGATTACCCTTTTAGGGGATTTGAGACACTTGAATTGTTAGCATTTTCCCCGGAAACTCTGACGTGACGTGTTCAGCTAGACCAAATTCCCCTTGTCTTCGTCTTCTAAGCCATCCTTACAACTACGGAGACCGGTGACTTAATTTGGTTCTTTGCCAGCGTAAGGTCAAAACAAGCCGGTGCTTGTTCTTTCGCCAGATGCACAAGTGATTCAGAGTACAGGTGATGAATCGGTTTGACAGCTACAATTACGCTTTGCCATTTGACCCAGTCCCAATAAAGCACAGTTGAATTTTCTACTCAGCAGTCTGTTTCCGATCAGTTGAATCAGCCTCATTGTCCGGCTTGACGGCAGCAAGTGAAATTATAAACGGAACAGAATGTCTCATTTAACGGTAATCTGAATGTTTTCTTCCAGAACCTAACTGTTTTTCTCTGAGCCGATCCAATCTGACGACCACGGCACTTTGCATTTTTTTCACAGCTGTGAAGCAGCGGGTTTTCGCTTCACTGGATCGAGACACCTGAATTCTGCGCGTATTTTCCCAAAACGCATACCTGATGTGGTCAGCCAGATCAAATTAGCTTCATCACAAGTCCACCTTCCAATAAATGATATCCGTGACTTACCTTTCACGACCGTCGAAAGGTCAAAATAAAACGGGTAACTTTCCTTCGCCAAATGCATAGAAGATCCGGTGAAGAGGCGGACGGGTTTGAGAGTTGCGATCACGTTTTTCCATTTGACCCAGATTCGCCAGACTACAGTGCCAAGGAGGCATAGTTAAATTTTCCACTCCATAGTCTGTTTTCGATCTGTTGAAAGACTAGGTGCTATAGCTACCTTACTGCGCCTATTTTTGCCCCTATTTATCATCTAACCCGTTGTTCACAAAGGGCCAGGGATAATTTGTACGCCAGATGCTTCTGGTCCGTTTAGCACAAGGCTACTTATTATTACAGGCCCAACCAAATTGAGCAATGTTATGAGAAACACCGTTTTAAGTTTGCATCCAAGATTACTACGCGGATGAAGACAGAGAAAGGTTGATTCTGGGATTATAAGTCATTTCGGTCTGAGCGTGCATCGGGAAGGAGAAAAATAAACTACAATTTTACCCGGTACCCATTTGTTCATTCTTTTATCTCATAGGCTGTATGATTCAAGATTCTGGCTGAGTTCTTTTGCGATTCATCCCCTTATGTATGAGATTGAAGCGGCTTTTATATTCTCTTAAGTGTGGTTTTAACACAAAGTTTGACAACTTGTGACGTTTTAGACGAAAGACGACGGTAAGACAAATCCCTCGTTGTTTTCCCATGCGTAAACTCTCCCTTCGTTTGTAATTTATGTGGATTGTGAACAAATGCAAACACTTCACATATGAGGCACATCTTCGGTGCCAAAATAGGACAAGTTTGCAACAGATTCGAGCACGATTAATTCACACAGTTCAAATAACCCCAAACTCGATTTGATTTTCCATTCACCTCTCCGTGAATGTTACCATCCAAGATTCCCACTCTGTTTGTGTGTACAGTAGAAGGCGGGAACACAACAAGATCATTTCATGCATCAATTTGTCACGAACTTACCCTAAATCAATACCATAGACCAATTTAAATTGTGGCCGGTGCTCTGTACGTATGTAGTATGTGCTTATGCATGTATGTATGTATGTATGTATGTATGTATGTATGTATGTATGTATGTATGTATGTATGTGTATGTATGTATGTATGTATGTATGTATGTATGTATGTATGTATGTATGTATGTATGTATTTCGTGTGTGTGTGTGGTTTACATGTTCCAACAATCAATTGAAAAAAACCGACGAGTTCCCACCGCCCTAGTCTCCGGACTGGGACAATTCTGTGAAGTAGTGTCGTACTAGGTCATCGTATGCGGAGTAAAATTCCCTCAATATGGATGATGCATGAGAAAAACACAGACAGATTAGGGAACAAAGCTAGACGGAATATCATTAAAAGCTATCACCATCTTTACCACCGCCATCACCACAGTAACAACATGGACGCCAAAGCCGAAAATGGGGAACAGCAAAAACACACCGTTTTGAAAGGCGTAACACGGGACGGTCGCCAAAACTGAGCAATCAGTTAACGTAAGCTGTTTGTACACCCCACAATCATCGTCAGTCATTGCGACCTTACATTATGGGATATCACGAAGTGGACTGACAAGCTCAAGGAGCGTAGAGTGGGTGGCAAATAGTGTTCTTTGTCTCGAAAAAGACGTGAGAGAGGGGTGACTTGATACATTCAATGCAAGATGCACACCATTTCATCAATGCGTTCAAACATTAAAATGAAAATAGGAGCACCACGGTTATAGAAAAACAAACAGCGGAACTGTTGAATTAGAAGAATAATCACTGATCCTATCAGCGATACATGATCAACTTCCTGTGCCCCTGGTTGGGAAAATCCGCACCCTCATTGGTGATGGTGCTCGCAACATTTTCCCACAGTCATGCTCGCCATCTGATACACTCAGCGAAAAGAGCCAGGATACATTGTGCGAACCTGTTGTTTTGAACTTTTTTGTTCTAATTCGGTACAGGTGAACTAAGCTTTCGAGGTCTCATAATCCCTTGTGATAGACGATTTCATTCCTCTTGCTAGGCAATCGTCAATGTACTTGGAGATTTTAGTTGGGAGCTCTCATCTACTTTCATCCCAAGCCAGTTGAATAAATGCTCAATTTGGTTGAGATTGTTTGGTCAAGGTGACCACGGTAGCGGTTTTTTACTGTGAATCTCATACATGAAAACGGAAGATGTGGGCAAGTTATCGCTTTGAAAAGTCGTTGTAACAATTGTGCTCAGTAATTGCAAAGTACTTTTTATCAAGATTTTTACGTCAGCTTAACCATTGATGATGGCGTCCAGAAAGACCCTCTCGTTCCGACCTTTACTCCAGATGGCTCCCCAGACACTGACTGAACTTCGACTGCACTACACTGCTACTGTCATCACGTCGCTTTATTAGCCTCAGAGATATTTATGAACATACGCTTGACGATCGTGTTTAAATAATGAAATTATCGATGTATTGGTTTGGCTGTGATCGATTTCCATTTCTCGTCCCTCTCACCATCTCTCCTAATTGATCACTTTAAACGCAACAGAGGAACAAGACTGTGTCATCTGGATCTAAAATTCATCTATTTCAACTGATGCACGATGAGTGGAGGAAAGATGTAGCGATAGGTAGATGGTACGAGCTTTCTAATTAGTCTATAATAAAGAAGAAATCGATTTCCCAAGATGATTAGCGCTGTGTGATAA